GCCCAGGCCCAGAGTTCAGGCCCCACGACTGGACCAAAAAAAAAAAAAAACTTTTGCTTAGGATATGGCCCAAGTAGTAAAGCACCTGCCTAACAAAAGTGGGAGACCCTGAGTTCAAACGCCAGTACTAACCCAAAAAGAAAAGTCAGCTTTCTCTGGGATATCAGGGTGGTGTTTACTAGAGATGTAACTGGTTTATTACTTCCTAAAAGCTCCAAGGGACATGTACTTCAGACATCCACAGAAGCCAGCCCTATAGTCCACCAAGAGCAAATCCATATTAATCATATTTAAGATACGTTTTTATAATTCCAGAGTTGTCAGTTCATTTATAAAGGAAAAACTGACATAGGGACCTGAATGTTCTATAAATGGAGCATCATACTCTTTTTTAGGAGCCTATAAGGAAAGCCAGATAAGCAATGGTTTATTACTTAGGGTGATTCAGTATTTGGTGTTCTTAGGCTGTCTTGACGATTCTAGTCCTATTACTTTTGGGCTTTCTATTATCTGTCAGTGCCACCACTTCCCCCTGAATAATGTGTGGATGGAGTAGACACTTCTAGTTTTATAGGAAAGTAGACAAAAGAGGCTGGGCATGGTAGCCCTCAGCTATAATATCAGCTACTTGGGCAGAGTAGGAGAAATGCAATTAAGGCCCGCGCTGGCAATATTTGTAAGAGTCTTAACAAGTAAGTTGAGCATGATGGTTTGCATCTGTAATACTAACAACATGGCAAGAATAGGTCAATGCATCACCGTATGAGGCTGCCACTAAAAAAAATGTAAAACCCTATCCAAAAAATAATCATAGAGCTTCTGCCTGGTAATTGGGAGTTTTTTTTTATTTTTTTGCTGGTCATGGGGCTTGAACTCAGGGCCTGGGGCACTGTCCCTCAGCTTCTTTTTGCTCAAAGCTAGCACTCTACCACTTGAGCCACAGCACCACTTCCAGCTTTTTCTGTGTATGTGGTACTGAGGAACTGAACCCAGGGCTTCATACATGCTAGGCAAGCACTCTACCACTAAGCCACATTGCCAGCCCCGTAATTGGGAGTTTTTGAGCTTCACCCAGTATCTCCTTCCCTTAAACAAAAAGTAGACAAAGAATCATAATATAGTTCAGATAGAAAATCAGCTAATATAACATTTCTTTTAATAACATATTATCCAGCAGCTTCTACAGTATGAGCTTATGAGTTAGTAGTGAGGAAAGGATATATTTGGAATGGTTTCTGGGGTTGTTATTAGTTCCTTGATGGGTGGGATGTTATCAGGATACAGACCTTAAAAAGGATGCCTGATATCACAGGATAAAGAAAGATAAGTGGTGTGAAATTCTGTGTGTTTATTTGTTGCTGTTGGGTGTTTTGTTTTGTTTTTGGCCAGTCATGGGGCTTGAACTCAGACTTGGGGGTGTCCCTGATCTCTTTTGCTCAAGGCTAGCACTCTTACCATTTTGAGCCACTGTACCACTTCTAGTTTTCTTGTGGTTAATTGGAGATAAAGAGCCTCATTGACTTTTCCTGCCTGGCTGGCTTTAATGTGTTTTATTTTAGTGGTGTCCACTCTTGTTTATGGAGGTAAAAACTACAAGCTTGTCTGAGAGCTCTATTGATTACATCATCTAATACGCAAAAAGGAGTCTGGTGGGAGTTAAGAGGACATTGGTTTCTGGTTTGAGTCTTAGACTAAGGGGCTTCTCATCCACAGTTGGATTATGAAGAGAAAACTCTCCAGAGGAGAGTGGCATAGCTTGAAAGGAATAAGAAGGACTATGAAAAGGTCTTTAGAACCAGGTGTTGGTGGTTCACACCTATAATCCAAGCTACTCAGGAGGAAGAGATCTGAGGATCGCAGTTCAAAGCCAGCCCAGGCAGGAAAATCCAGTAAACCACCAGAAAACCAGAAGTGGCACTGTGGTTCAACTAGTAGAGTGCTTGCCTTGAGCTGAAGAGTACAGGGACAACGCTCAGGCCCAGAATTCAAGCCCCACGACTGACCAAAAAAAGAAAAGAAAAGAAAAGGTCTTTAGCTTCCCATGGATGATACAGTGTTTTCTAGTGAACTATATGAGGTGGTCCAGCAAAATATTTTTCTTAGCAATATGTATGATTTTTCTATTACAAATTAGCAAATAAAATGGTTTTCTAGATGTTTATATTGCATAAATAAGGCTAATATGACACTAACCTCTCAAGTAAATAAAGTATCAAGAAAACAGTAGTACAGGTAATGGGCAAATGTGAAGATTTTCAAAATGATGCATGAATTACTGAAGGTTGGGCAAACACTAATTACTGGAAAGAGTCTCTAGACTTTTATTTATTTATTTTTGGGTCCGGTCGTGGGGCCTGAACTCTGGGCCTGGGCGTTGTCCCTCAGCTCTTCAGCTCAAGGCTAGCACTCTACCACTTGAGCCACAGCGCCACTTCCGGCTTTTTTCTTTTTGCTTATGTGGTG